AAATTCCGGAATGGCCGACATTTTTCGCTTCGCTTCGCGCCGCTTGGACTGTTGAGAGTGGCCGCTTTGGTTGCCACGGACTTTCCAGTGGCTATTAAAATTTGGATAAAGATAAAATACGTGCATCTTCATTATACATACTATGAATAAATATTTGCGTTCATCTAAAAATAAATTTCCTTATCGCTATTCCAACCTTTGGAGCTAAATTGAGCTGTTTCATTAAACCTCTTGTCTCCACGTTAAAGGGGATTGGGTCAGGGTAGGCATCGGTACGGGCTATACACTTGTTTGCCAATCTTTTAGCATAGAAAGAGCGACCGGTGGTTATTTCACAATACTATTTACTCGATCTGATTTCAGGCAATCAATAAATCTATCCATTTAATACATATATAAGCAATAAATCAGTTAAATTTTGCATAAATTTATAAACGTAGATAGCCTCGTTTAATTCACGTCTTTGCGTAATAAGTATTTGGACCTTGGATAATATTTATCTTAGTACGGATAAAATTATGTTTGCAATATCTTTAAGTACCTATACATAAAACTTTGATTGTACATATCATTGAAATCTTATTACCCAATGTCTTTGCAACTCTGGGTCAGTGTTAATTGGGGTAACATTTTTTCTATCAAATATAGTCCAATTTACGGAGCTGTTTTACCTCTAAAAAATCCTTTATTCAGTTTAGGCTGTTACAAGCACTCATGCATATCTAGAAGCTACGCCATCAGTTCGTAAATCTACGGCTGTAAATCTTCAGGCTCTGATTGCAAAAAATAAAAAAAAAATAGTATGTGGTTAAAATATTTATTTTATTTTTGAAATGAATATATGTTTACTGCTCTGTAATATTTTATTTTTATTTTGAAAAAAGCTTTTACTGGCAAAGTCTGCTTTAAGCAAAATATAGTAGTAGTGCCTCTAGAGGTATTCCAGGCGAATGGAATCTCCCCACGGGAAGTCTCCTCTCCGTCTGGAGTGTCTAGACCAGTGAGTAAGGCACTGTTCGCCCGGGAAGAAAATGTAGCGCAGCATCATCATGACGGGTGGGGGTGGAGTGTAGTGGGACCATCCACGGCCCATCGAACATGCCAGTGTCCAAAAATACAAAAAAATCCTCAACAGAGGATGTAAAAATCGTTAACTCGAAGCGATATCTCCATAATCCAGATGCTATTACATCAATCAATAACGAGTTCGAGTTAACGTTGAGGTTTGTTATGTATATTTGGTCGAGACCACGAGACTCCTACCACGAGAGTCGAGACTCCCTAACATACCTTCAAGGTAAGTAGGTAATAACCAATTAAGTGATCGATAAGTCATCGCAACCCGCGCGGTTTTCACACGTAAATTATACATTTCAGCTAGCCTGTTGATAAACAGTATCCTATTACACCTAACACGTTAAAGTCGCCAGCATTTAAATTAAAAACACCAATTCTTCATTGTTTATTATGTACACGTGAACTTTGAGACCTTTCAGGACTTTGGGCAATGAGATAATTGATTTCAATGTCACCTGGATTTTTGTATATAATACATGAATTTTGTAAATCCTGTTTAATAAATACAACATTCCATCTTTGTCAATTGTTTAAAGTCAAAATAAAGATAGAATAAGGTTTATACATGATTAGCTTTTTGATTTGATTTAAGTTTGTGTTATAGGGGGAACTTATTAATAGTATTGTGTCCTTTAGTTAGTAAGATTGAGTTGTTAGATAACGTAGTATGTCAGACGGTGTAAGGGAGCTTACATGTTACAAACACCCTAAAATTTCACAACTTAAAGCTAAGTAAAATACTCTGAAATTCAGCGTTTCAATGTGACTTAACAAAATTTATCCAGCCGGGTCGTGGTAGTAGTTGTTATAAAGAGGTCTAATTAATAGTTTTTTTACAATGGAAAATTTCAATTGCAGAAAGCCTAAATAAATAGAAATGTCTTAAAAGGATTTGAAAATATCGATAAAAATAAAGTCTCCTTAAAAATATTAAGTAAATTATTGTCTCAACCAGCTAGACATCCACAGGAGTATTAAAAAAATGTGCGTGTACAAAAACAAATAAATTCGTGAACAATAAATTTTCTTTATACGTTCATTTGTGGTCTTTCAGAAAAAAGGCATAAGTTTTAAATAAGAAGATTATCCTCCCGGCAAGTATCGTAAATAATTAATAATATTATGATTGAAGCGCGGTGGTAATTATAAACTATAGTTTAAATAAGAATTAAGAAAGTTAAACCGGCTTTTGGAGCGCAGTTGTTTTTTCCAAAGACGGCTGTAATTGTTGAAATGTTATGAAATTAAACATTCATCTTTAGAAACCTTTAATAGTTTACATATAAAATTACGATCGGAGTCCCTCCCACAAGTTCTGCGTTGTTATGGGCCTAGGTGATAGTAGGACCAATTTACCAATAAAATTGTTAGAAAAAAATCCACGCGGACCAGACAGCGGGCGGGACCCGAAACCGCATCCTTCGCTATCCGGGCGAATGCACTGACCATTATGCTACCACGGCCCTATTAGCTGCGTCGAAATTTTCCTAGCCTTAAGCTGCAAGGCAGCGCCATCTCTTCGCATTGTAGGTAACCCACAATGTCAAATGAATACTTTTTCAAGTATTAAACATTTGAAAGAAGAAATAGCAATTATAGTTATGATTTTATTTATTTTTTAAGCATCTAGCAGTTAAATGCTTAAAAAATAAATAAAATCATAAATAAAATTGTTGTTTGTTATTGAGTTAAAAACGACTTAAATGTAAAGATTTTTTTATTACTAAAATAAAAAATAAAACATTTATTCTCATGTATTCTTTGTCTTGTATTTTCTTTGGATAATAAAATTTAACAGATGAATTTTTAGTTACAGGCGAGGCTAGTAGGGAACCACACTTAAACCATTATCCTCTTAATAATAATAATTGCAAATTTTTTGGAGGTAGGTAACATTTTATTTAATATCCGTGGCTTTCAAATTTTCATACTTTTGCTAACAATGAATAACTTCGATCATTACTGTCGGTTCTTATTTAATACTAATGGCCCACCCTCGTTTCGATTCGGTGAAGACTATAGTTATTGTTATAATTTGTCCAATGACACTCGCCCAATAACGTTGCTTCTATTGTTTTTTTTTATTCGTTTCTGTAGATCCATAGACTACCCCCTACAACCTCACAGGGTTTACCTCTTTATAATATTAGTAGTCTGTGCGGAAAGAGAATGGGCGTGGCGAAAAACGGAACTAACATTAAAATTTTTATTTGGCAATCAAACCCAGCAATCAGTAAAACGTCAGTTTTTTATTGATACGGATTTGTTTGTTGTTGTGATTTCTTGCGGTTTTTGTATTTTATCATGTTTAAAAGGGGTAAAACCTTACAAATACGGTAGAAAAGCACTACAGCGCCCTCCAATCTATATCCCATTCTCTTTCCGCACAGACTCTAGCGGAGTAGGTCCTTGCTAAAATTGTAATTAGATGGATGGCTTTGTTCTTAATGGTCTTTAGATTTCATTATTTAGTTATTCTTTGTAGGATTTATCTGTAATCTGAGATGGTTGCTATCTATAGATTAGTTTTCTTCGTAACATGTCTTAAAAATATTTGGAAAGCATATAAGATTTTGGGTAAAAGATTGACACCAATTAGAATTGTAAATAAACTTCCGATGTAACCTTTACTCTATGATTACCTTCTTTTTTATCTAATTTTCCATAATTTATCTTAAGAAAATATTCGCGTTTTTTTATTATTTATTAATAAAAAAAATATGTATCGAATTTATGGTATAGAGCCCAAATTAACATTGCATAAGCAGCTAAAAACCTTTTAGGACTACTATCTAGATAATTTCGGCGAATAAAAACTATAGAGATTTAAAGTTTAGGAAAAGAAAAGTACCTACAGCCCAATAATTTGCCCTGGAGCCTGTTAATTTTTCGTAATAAAATATTCCTTACATAATATAAAAATCTAGCTAGCTGGAAATAAAATATACCGGAAATAAATCTACTTCTCAGGCTTGGGCTTGTCACAGCCTAAACTGTATTTAAAACTTGAATTTACTTAGGCTAGTTTTTGTTAAGCATTTTAAGTAAATACGTTTACCCACAGGGTTATCCCTACATATTACATTTGCAGTCTTTATGTTCATAATAATATCCAATGTTACCTAGGTAGGTAACCATATCTAATAAAACAATTCCTATCAGGTAGAGTAGGTGTCATTTAGGAAAATCGTTCACATTTTAGGATGTAGATGTAGTTCTAGGAATTTTAAGTACAGACAGCGTTCTGTTTACATATTTTTTAACTATTTAGGTACCTATCTAGTTACTTTGGAATCAGATTAGCATCATTTGATGTTTTCCAACGTAATTTGTTAACTTTTCTTTTCATATAGCTAGAAAATACCTACATTTAAGTATTTAAAAAAAAAATTAACTGTTATGAAGCACTACAAATAATTAAGTTAAATGAAGCTTTTAAAGTTTGGAGACTTTAAAAGCTTCATTTTTACACATTTTTTTAAAGTTCTCTCGTAAATAAGAATGCAAGGTTTTATTACTCAATTAAGCAACATTGTACTTAGGATATTGTAGATATAAACGGATTTATTACCACTTGTTAGTTCATTGTTTACTAATAAAGAAATAAATAATCTCTGGATCAAAACGCAGGATTCAGTAAATTGAAACAGGTGCTCAACATTGCTCTACTCTTGTTTCGAGTGATCAAGTCTGAGCGACACGGTTCCCAGTCTAGATGCATTTCCACTGACCTGCCTTTAAAACACATTGCAGTACTGCAATTTCGATCAAAGTATTCATCACGAACGTATACGATCACGTGTTCGAGTGCAGCGCTCTATTTCATCCAATCGTGGGTAATGCGAATAACCGGCACAGGTACACGGTAAACACTTCAATTACTGTGTACAACGCTCTTAACACTATAATCACTAGCTAAGGCACTAACCGGGTTGCTGGGGCGGCAGCAGCGGCGGCATGTTCGATGGCGGCGGAGCCGACGGCGGTGGCGGAGGGGGCGCGTAAGGAGACACACCGGGAGAGTCCGGGACGGAATCACAGCTGGCCGAGCCCAAGGAACGAGGCGCGGGCGGCGGCACCACTGGACTACGGGGCGCTTTAACTATCGGGGGCTCCGGTCTTTCCAATTCAACACCCGGCGCTTGCAAGCCCGCCTCCATCGCCCGCGCTCTCGCTTCGTCCTGCGCCTGCGCACGTCTCAAAGCTGTCTGCAGCGCCATCACTCGCTGCCGGTCGGCGGTCAGCCGGCACTTCTCGCAGGTGCAGTACCGGTACTTGCAGTAGCGCTTGTGTCCCTTCAGCTCGACCTTGAGTCGGTGGTTGCGGCAGCGCGCGCAGTTGGGGGCCGCGCGCGGCACGCCCGAGCTGGAGGCGCCGGGTTCGGAGCGCTCCTCGCAGTCGTCGGGCGCGCGACGCCTCCACGCGCCCATGGACACCATGGCGGGATCGTAGTGTGGCGTGTTATCGCGCGCGACTCGGCGCACGTCCAACGCGTCGTGCGGTCACGATGCGACTGCCGCGCTCCCGCCACCCGCCCCGCCCCGCTCTGCCCCCGCGCCCTCACTGCATTTATTGCCGTGCACATGCAAGTCTGCAAGTGTGCAATTCTTTGCACTTTAGTTTTATTCACGGCTGTGCGTCCTATCTTGTTGAATTTGCTGGCTATAAAATGAGAACTGAGTGATTCTTATATCATGTATAAGTGAAAGTTAAGCAACTTTCGCAATGGTCGGTAAGTGCATGGGTGACCAATAACTTATTACCACGAGCTCCTCCCTCCGTGCTCGGGAAGGAACGTTAAGCCGTTGGTCCCGGTTACATCTCCAGTTGTTAGCACCCACCAATTCGCACTGGGCTCGCGTGGTGGGCCTAGGCCCAATCAGGGAGACTGGGCCATTCTTATTCCATTGGGATGGGTATTTTATTTGTAGTTTTTTTTAATAAATCGTCTAAAGAAAAACGAGCAGCATTATGATTACACCAAAGAGAAATATTAAAGAATCAAAAATTATCCATTATTTTACCTGAAAACCTGAAAAAGAAAATTTGTAAAGAAATGTCTAGATCAAAAAAAGAAGAACATAAAAAAACGTAAAAGAAATGAACAGGCGTGACCTGAACGCTCCACGCGCAAAGTGGAAAGATAACTCAAAGAAGTATTTTCTGAAGGAAAGGGTTTTTTTTTGTGGTTTGTCTACACAAACAAACCAAATATTTTAATTACAAATGCTAATTTGATTTTTATTTTGTCGTGATTTCTTATAAAGAATAAACGTTTCATCCATTCCTCATTGTTTAATTTCATTCTCATCGCATGCAGCAAATTTGCATTGCCTATTAATATTCTGTAAATAATTGAAATCTATTAAATATCAAATAATATTATGATTTTTTTATTACACCTAGAATAGATAAAAGGAAATATTGAATAATAATGACTTTTCAAACTCTTAATTTTTTTGCATGTTAATAGAATAATTCGACTACGTTTTGTTTGATGAGTTCACCAATCTAACAGTCATGGATGTGAACAAAATGAAATTGTTCAACTTACCTGCAGCTATTGACTAGGTATAAATTATTGGAATAAACATTTTCAAATAAGAACTGTTAATTTCAGTTCTATTTCTTTATAAAAGTTGAAAACTTACTGGTTGAAAAGGATTCGAAACGTCATAAATAAATAAATCTATACCGTTGAAACTTGTTTTTTTATGTTAATTTAATGAGTTTGCGTGAAAACCTAAAAAACAAATAACTTACAAGTTTTTATTTACATCAGCATTAAGGTAAGTTTTTAAGATAGAGTCATCTTATCATATTAATTGGTAGAGCATAATATGATGGTGATTCTATTCTAATAATTTTGTGGTAAAGTGCCATAAAATCAATAGAATTTAATCTATGACTCTACTATTAGTTAAGTCATTACTAACTTACAACCTGAAACAAGATTTCCCCTTACGAAAACTTGTGAACTTAATTCAAAATTTAACATTTGGGCAGAAAAATTACTCTTACCAAAAAAAATTACCATTTACAAGTCTTTTTTTATATTTAAATAGCCATATAAAACTTGAACTTAATCGATACTCAAAAAAATACAATTGATTACCCAACCTAAGATAAGATTAACAAATAGTATTTTTTAAATGACCCATTATTATCTTTTTGGTGCTCCCCATTTAAATATTTCCCATTTTCTATCATGAACAGAACGTTTTTATTAGTAATACGTTTATATATAGCTAACATATTCATAGAGAATTGTTGATTTCAATATTCGTTTCTGAGGTTTTCACGCACATCACTCATTAAATAAAACTAGTTTTTACGGGTTAGATATATACTGAATTTAATGACGTTTCAATAAATAAATAAATAAATTCAGTACATCTAACCGGTAAAACTAGTTTTATTTGTTGATTTCAATGTTCAAATCATTTTCATTCGTCTCGCGATGCAGTGCAGTGCAGAAATTGGTGCAGTAACAAAGGCCCTCTGGTGCGTGTGCCGCGAGAATCGTCGCGTGCGGATACGAGGTGCATACTCACACATACACACGCTATCAATACCGACGTGTGTGTGTGTGTGCATGCGATATTAAAATATCAGTTGGTGTGCCAGTGTGGTAACGAATACGTTTCACATCAATTTGTGTCAAAATTTTAGTGACATAATTAATAAATAAATTATTGTTTACGTTTTTCCCTTATTTAAAAATAAATCATCAAGTTATGAAGACAGCTATATGAGAATACTGTCACTATAGTTTTCGGAAAACGACTCGGAAGTTAGCAACTAACTAATGTTAAAAGTGGCGTCATCTGGTTACTATATTGAATGAAGTTCGTTGATTTGTCCTCCCAATAGGGGTGATGACGGGGTACATTAAACGAAATTCTATTTGGTCCGTCAGTTAGATGATCAAAAAATAATGGACACGTATTTTTTCTTTGGGAAATCAACCTAAAAATGACAAAGTTATAGCGCGTCAAAGTTTGGGAGTAGGGGCTCGTGCCGTCACTTTTGAGGGAATTTTCCCTTATAAGTGTACTCAAACGTGACGTCATGCGACTTTTCAAATCAATATATCTCTACAATGTTTATATTATGTGAAAAAAGAAAAAATACTTGTTCAATACTTTTTGATAATCTACCTGATAAACGAAGAAAAAAAAAATTAGTCATCATCCCTATTATGTGAGGTGAAAATACTGGCCTAAAAGTAGGTAGTATTCAAAGATTTGAACTTGAAAAACTTGAATTAAATTGAATGCTTCCTTAGGTCAAGTTTTGTCTTATTCTTTGTTTAGTAGTCAAACTAAGTATAAGATACTTCAGCATCAGTACCATTTTATAAGATATAATTTCTAAGTTGAAATGAACAATTGAAATTACTATAATTGTGCTAATGTTTGTTTTTGCCTTTCCTGAAAAATTTGCTGGAAATGGAGTTACCGATTTTCAGCAAATCAGGGACCAAATCGGAAAAGTAAACTTACAAATAAAAAAAGTTTTAAAATCAATTGGGATCGTAATCTTTCAACTAATAAAAAATATTTAAATAATTGGTGCACAATGCACGAAAATATCGCCGAATATACACAGAAAATATCTTCCTACACGAAGAATATAGAACTTCTCTTTCTTTTTCAAAGTCGGTCAAAAATATGTATCATTCTTCCAACTTCAATAAAAAAATCTCCCAAAACTTACTTACTATAAAAAATTCCACGCGGACCACGCAGCAGACGGGACTCGAACCCGCACCCTTCGCTATCCGGGCAAATGGACTGACCATTATGCTACCGCGGTCCTGATGGCCGTGTCGTATTTTTCCTATCCTTTCTTAAGCTGCAAGGCAGCACCATCTCTTCGCATTGTAGGTTACCCACAATTTTCTTTTCTAGTAATATTTTCTTTAGATTTAAACATCTAGGAGTTAAATGCTTAAATAATTAAAAATACAAAACTACAGCCAGGTAGAGAATAGCATTATTTAGCTAGGCTTCAACAAAATGAAAAATGTGATGTATCGCATCATCAAGTGCTTTTCTGTGCTCTCTACAATTTGAGAGCGTAATAACTTACTGTTTTTTACACACAAAAAAAGCTTTCCCGATTTCATTTAATAACTACAAATTAAATTTACCCATACGTACCATACTAGCAAAAATACGATTGATTAAATACTTTGTAGGTACACACTTACTTACTTACTTACAACTTACTTTTTCTCGACAATTATACAATATTAGATATATTGTATAATTGTCGAGAAAAAGTAAAGTGCTACAAGTGCTACATCTAGCAGTTAAATGCTTAGAAAATCGTTAAAATCAACTATGTATAAACATGGCTTACTCTTAAGCCCTAATGAAGTCAACAGAGAGTTTTTTTTTTATTTACTTTTTACTGCAGTAAGTAAACGAGTGTTTTTAGTTTTTTAAACTATTAATCTATTTTTCTCTTTTTAGTTATTACAAAACAAAACGAGTTTATTACGACTGAATACGTATCCTATCCATTTCCGATAAGGCTTCACTATTGCAAGACTTTTTTATTACCCCCCTTTAACGTGAAATAAACAGAATATATTAAAACGAATGTAATGAGCCCATTGTTTACTAGTAGGCAGTGCCGGGTCCATCACCCACCTTCCAGTCCATCATCAGGTCCTCGTCATCAGGAGAAATGAACAGAATGTGTTAAGACGAATCTAATGAGCCCAAACTCGATATGTTTACTAGTAGACGGTCCAAGGTTCCATTAGCCACCTTCCAGTCCCATCATCAGATCAGCTCGGTGGTACCATAATATTGTATTGACATAAAATCTAATTACATTTGCCAAGTTTAAAGTTAATCTGATCGCTTAAAGATGGGCAAAATAGAGTCCAAACGAGTCCGTTACATACATACAAACAAACATACAGGTGAAACTAATAAAAGAGTGTTAAAAAATAGAAAGACACAATAATGAAAATTTTGTTTTTTAAACATTTAACTGATGTTCAAATCCAAAGAAAATTTTAATAGAAAAAAATCTACTCTAGGTTTAATTGCACAATAATTATGACATTGACCTCGAAAATTTATTCTATTAACTTGATTCTTGTAACTACACATTATGTTAATCTATTTATATATTGCCGGCAATTTGTAGGTATAATGCGGCATTATATTCAATATCTAGGTGTAACTAACTGGTAGCTATGTCGACGCTGTCACTCTCACTCACCGGCCCCGGTCCGTCACCCACGCTCCCGGTCCATCTCTCACGAGACTCGGTCCACCACTCGCGACTCCCGGTTCATCACTCACCGCTCCCGATCCATCACTCGTCACTCGCAACTCCCTGTCCATGGCTCGCCACTCGTAACTACCGGTCCATCACTCACCTCTCCCTGTCCATCACTCACTCCTCCCGGTCCATCACTCACCTCTCCCGGTCCATCATTCACCTCTCCCGCTCCATCACTCACTTCTCCCGGTCCATCATTCACCTCT